TTTCTGTTTGGTTGGCTGTTATCACTAATTGTCGTAGGCCCCATGGCGACTTATTTATACAAAAAAAAAAAAAAAAAAAAGCGAATAAACAAAATATTTTACAGTGAAGATCTGGCAGGTCGTATTTGTTTGGTCGAGTGCTGAGCTTTGTTCGAGTAGGGAGCTGGTCGTATACCAAGGTTCCACTGTATATATTATCATGTATCTCTCTCTCCTTTGTTCCAGTGTGCTTTACTGGCTCAATGTGAGCCATAAACGATCACTGTATTTGTTCCAGCTCAGATATTTCTCCTGTTTTTAATGGGGCTGTCAGCACTGAGCACCAACTTACTACACTATTCCAGTATACAAGAGCAATGTTGCTCACTAACATGACACACTGACCTGAACAACTGATTCATATCCCTACAACTAACATTTATTAATTAAATTTCATCATCATCATTATCATCAGCAGCAGCAATAACCTTCGCACTGGAGAGAGAAAAGCTTACAACAGTCAAACTTGGACCACTGACAAAGACACACTAACAAAAAAGAGTGAGGGAGCCAGTATATATAGGCGAGGGGGGACAGGGACGGGACCAAGATAAGAAGAAAAAGAAGTAACGGAAAGGCTGGTAGTAGTAGTAGTAATAGTAGTAGAAGTAATAGTGGTAGTAGAAAGTAGGGAGAGTAGTTTAGTGGCACAAGAGAGTAAGGGGACTGAAGGGTAAAGGGATGCAATAGTACTAGTAGCAATAGTACTAGTAGCAATAGTACTAGTAGCAATAGTACTAGTAGCAATAGTACTAGTAGCAACAGTACTAATAGCAGTAGTACTAGTAGCAATATAACTAGTAGCAATAGTACTAGTAGCAATAGTACTAGTAGCAATAGTACTAGTAGCAATAGTACTAATAGCAGTAGTACTAGTAGCAATAGTACTTGTAACAATAGTACTAGCAATAGTACTAGTAGCAATAGTACTAGTAGCAATAGTACTAATAGCATAGTACTAGTAGCAATAGTACTAGTAGCAATAGTACTAGTAGCAATAGTACTAGTAGCAATAGTACTAGTAGCAATAGTAGAAATGGAGTGGTAGTTGTGGGATCAGTCTAAGGACATGAAAAAGGACCACTGCAGGAGAGGTAATGGCTGTTAGGTAAGACACATATGCAACAGTTAGGTATCTTTATTTCGAAACGTTTCGCCTACACAATAGGCTTCTTCAGTCGAGTACAGAAAAGTTGATAGAAGCAGAAGATACTTGAAGATGATGTAATCAGTCCATCACCCTTGAAGTTTTGAGGTGGTCAGTCCCTCAGTCTGGAGAAAAGTATTGTTCCATAGTCTGAAACAATATGGAGTTGAAGTGACAGGATGGAGCCTTATATCCACCAGGAGGTGAGATGCAGGCCACTGGTAGAGGTAAGAATGTAGTCGTTGGGAGGTCAGGTCCCTCTTAAATCCAGCCATTCTGACTATCAACTTTTCTGCACTCGACTAAAGAAGCCTACTGTGTAGGCAAAACGTTTCGAAATAAAGATACCTAACTGTTGCATATGTCTTACCTAACAACCTGTCGGTATTTTATACCATTTGAATGTTCACAGAGGTAATGGCTACAAGGGGTAGGATCAAAGACATGGTGGGGGGACACTGAAGGACAGAACACACCTAGGCAGAGGAAAGTGAAAACAAAGACAGGAAAAAGGAAAAAAATAGGAAAGGAGAAGAGATAGGGAGAGGAGGAGAAAGGATCAGGTCAAGTCACGGGTGTTCTGAAGTTCGGAGCATTTAACAATGTAGTGAGAAAGGAAGGCATCTACAGATACAAAGCCAAGACTAAGATTCATACAAGGAAAGTTGTGTATAAAGAATGATTCAACCAGATGGCGTATGTGAAATTAGAAGTAGGGTACACAGTTGTAGCGGAGGACCAGTTAATAGGATGACTGTGATCTCTAATATGATATAAGAGTGTTATTGGTGTTGGCAAGCCTAACACTTTTTTTTGTGTTTTTTAAGGCTGCCAGAGAGTGGCTAGCCTCTCCAAAGTATTGGAGAGGACAAAAAGAGCATGAAATAAAGTAGACACCAGGAAGATCTACAGCAGGAGTAGAGGCACGAACTAGATTACTGTGAAAGGTGTTAGTTTCACGAAAATTAAGTTTAACATCTAAGGAACAATGTTCAATGTCTCATTTCAGATAACCCTTGGTCTAAATTCTCCCACACTGACTGTGTTACACTCTCACAACATCAGTTTGAACTTCCTGGTTTTGATCTTTTCTTTGCTATTTCACCTGTCCCTCATGCAGGTATTGACCTGATTACCTCTTGATTCCTTTCGTCAATCTCGCTCTTGGAATCTTCCTGATCTGTCCACTTTTCCTGGTGCTCTCCTTCCTGGCCTTGATAATCTGTTGTTTCTTATGACAATGGCAATTCGGTGGTTATCTTGATAGTGAAGATTACCTCCACAAAGCTGAAGCCTTGCTCTTCGATTCACGTACCTACACTCCTCTTGTTTCCATCCCTCTTGATCGCATGAAGAGAACTTTCAATAATAAACTTCAGACTCTCTCTGATCTCTGTCCTCCTGATGTTTCCATGTTATCTGTCCCTCTCTTTCTTATTTCTATGGCCCCAAAACTCATAACCCTGATATTCCTCTTTGTCCCATCATATCCTCTAGACTCTAGAGGTTCTGTCTCTTATTCTCTTGCTTCTTGGTTGGCCAAAACCCTCACTCCCTTTCTTGGTACTTTTTCTCCTGCCCACCTCCGTCACTCTCAGGACTTCATGGAACGGGTTCGCTCTCTCCTGACCTGTAAGATGCTTAGTCTTGACGTTGAGTCCCTCTTCACCAATGTCCCTCTTGATGATGTCCTTAATTTTCTCAGAGAGAAGGCCAATGAAGGGTTACTTTATTTCCCTATACCTACTGATGTCTTAATCTTATCTGCCTTTGTATGGACTCTTAACTCCTTTTGTTTTCAAGATAAATTTTATTCTCAAACCTTCGGTGTGGCTATGGGGTCTTCGCTATTCCCTGTTCTTGCTAACCATTATAAGAAATACTTCGAAACACTTCTTCCTACTATTGACGTGCATCCTTCCGTCTAGCTCTGCTGTATAGATGACATTTTTGTTCTTTGGCCCCATGACTCTGGTCTCTTCCAACCATTTCTCAATGCCTTTAGCAACCTTGCTCCTTCCATCACGTTTAAAGCTGAATGGGAATATAACTCTTTGCTTCATTACCTTGATTTACATGTCCATCACAAGCCTATGCACAGTGGCATGTACATTCACTACTATTCTTACCATGGTTCCTCTGTCAGGTAAAGTGTTTTTATTTCTTTCTCTGTGAACTTCACATTTGTAATGATTGGTTTCTCAAATCAGAAATTTCCACCTGTTGTAATTCTTTCCGTAGTCCTTGGCTACCCTTCTTATTTTATAAACTCTACCTTCTAGTGTGCTAAACGGACTTCTCTCCCAAACTCTACTCCTGTGAAATCTTCTGTCTCCGCCTTCCTTTTATTTCCAGTCTTTTTAATCTCAACAACTCTCTCCGTTCCATAGACATCAAATTTACTTTTCGCCAAACTAACTAATCCAGTTCGTGCCTCTTGCAATCATCCTATTGACTGGTCCTCTGCTAAAACTGTCTATCCTACTTCTAGCCTTCACAGTCATAGTCTTGTTGAATCATTCCTTATTCCTTATAGTACATAACTTTCCTTGTGTGAATCTTAGTCCAGGCTTGGTCTCTGTAGATGTCTTCCTTTCTCATTACATTGTCAAATGCTTCAGACTTCAGAACACTCATGACCTGACCTGATCCTTTCTCCTCCTCCTCCTCCTCCTCCTACCTCCTCTCCTTTCCCATTTTTCCTTTTTCTTTCTTTTTTTTTAACCTTTCTTCTACCTAGGTATATTCTGTTGTTTAGTTTCTCCATCCCACCATGTCTTTGGTCCTACCCTTGTAGCCCTTAGCTATCCTGCAATGGTCCTTTTTCTTGTCCTTAGACTGACTCCACACCTATTACTACTATGACTACCACTCCATTTCTACTATTGCTGCAACTACACCTACCATCCGACTTACGACTGAGTTCGGTTCCGAGAAACCGGTCGTAAGTCGAAATGGTCCTAAGTCGAACTTTACTACTGAATATCAACATCACATTTTTGTAATGACTTTATTTTATTGTTTTATTTTGGTATTTCATGTTTTACTTTACTTTTTATGTTGTTAGTACTGTATTTTATACTGTAAGGTTTAGGATAAACACTGTGTACAACACAAATAGTTGTTTATTTCCCAGAAATTTGGCATAAAAAACACGGTGGTAAGTCGAGTGGTCGTAAGTCGAGCAGGTCGTAAGTCGGATGGTAGGTGTATTACTATTACCTCCCTTTACCCTTCACTCCCCTTTCTCTCTTGTGCCACTAAACAACTCTCCCTACTTTCTAATACCACTATGACTTCTACTAGTACTACTTACACTACCAGCATTACCACTACTTCATTTTCTTCCTCTCTTGGTCCCATGCCTGTTCCCTTCACCTATATATACTGGCTCCCTCACCCTTTTGTGTTAGTGTCTTTGTCAGTGGTCCAAGTTGGACTGAAATGTCGTCATAAGCTTCTCTCTCCTATGTGAAGGTTATCTGTGTATTTTTCCAGTCACAGTGTTGTGACATTGTGTTCTTCTAGTGGGAATATTACTAGTAGCCAGCAGTGGAGAACTTTTTGCTAGTTATTCAGCACTCAAAACCATCAAAAAATATAGAACACATTAAAAACAAGATGAAATGAGCAAACAAAACCAACGAATATAAACACTCAACATAAACACTTTCATACTAAGTTTAATTAACCAACACAATTTCAAACCCCATTAAATTATTAATATTGAAAGACTTTGGTAAAAGTTCCGCAAGGTTCCATTTATACACTATATGACTTTGGATACAAACAAAATTAATAAAAGACTTAAAACCTTCTTCAGGAGGCTGTCTGTTCCTGTGTGTTTTTCTTATATCGTCTAAAGTGACGTTTTCTTCAGAGAAGAGTCCTCCGTGCATCACCTGTCAGGGAGACAAAGTCACATCATAAGGGGACAAGTTACAGTAGACACAGAGGGAGAGGATATGTGTACACTTCACGATATTTATTAAAAAAAAAAATGTTGCACCACGAGTGGCTTTACGCATCACAATAATAAAAGTGCTTAGGGTGGAACAGTTCCTGAACCGAGTGTACCTTTCTATAGTTTTCCAGTACCGCCATACCATGCTTGTGAAACTGTACCATTTGTTCATTAGCTACCTTTGTTAATGTATGTATGATTGTAGTTAACTGCATAAGAAATCCTACTTAATAGTCTATGTCTAAATATTAAGCAGTCTTTAAGCATTAGTATTAGTTTACCCAAAATGGGTATACTAGTGGTTTTCTGCCTACCAGTACAGTGGACCCCCGGTTAACGAACTTTTTTCATTCCAGAAGTATGTTCAGGTGCCAGTACTGACCGAATTTGTTCCCATAAGGAATATTGTGAAGTAGATTAGTCCATTTCAGACCCCAAACATACACGTACAAACGCACTTACATAAATACACTTACATAATTGGTCGCATTCGGAGGTGATCGTTATGCGGGGGTCCACTGTATTTTATTATATGTAAACTGTATTATTTTTGTACCATATAAAGAAATAAAAATTGAAATGTATTAATTAGTAAAGAGTGTTGTTAAAATTATGAGGAGGTACTGTAACAGTGAGGTGACTTGATATGAGGAAGAGAAGGGTAGCTCCCCTTCCTTGAATCAAGAACCCTACACCAGTATCACTTCATTAAATATAGCTCCCCTTCCTTGAATCAAGAACCCTACACCAGTATCACTTCATTAAATAGAATCAGAAGGGTGGCTCATGCTAGATCATCCAGTAGTAAGGTACAAACCAGGGTATGGGTGGGGTATCAACCAATGGAAAGTGAGTCCTAAACCTGACAGGGCAGTGTGTTAACCCGTAAACGGTCCAAACGTATATATACGTTTTTTCAATATTTGAAAGTATGTAAAAAAAAGTAGATCTTCTTTTTGTTTTTTTTTTACATTTGAAAATGTGTAAAAAAACTTTGATCTACTTTTTTTTGTTATATTTGAAAATGTGTAAAAAAAACGTAATCTACTTTTGTAGCACTACACATGTGAACATAGATCTGCTTGGACCGTTTACGGGTTAACGACTGGGACAGCTCACTGACGTACCAGTTCGGTTCTCTTTGATCTAGTGAACTAACACAAACATGTTAGATTTTCAAGTCCACTAGCACTTAAAACCTTTACCCCCGCCCTCCAATCCTTCCTGGTATGACCCCTCACTTTTCCTACCCTCAACTCCAGATTTAAATACCCTCATAATCACCCTATTTTGCTCCCTTCTCACTTTTGGTGATGATATCACCTCAATAATACTTCCTCATTTCTGAGTTACACTTTTGGCAACACCAACTTTAAATCTCCGCGCTCCAATATTTTTAATAACGCATTGGCTGTTTCCTACCGGGGCAGGGTGACCCAAAAAAAAGAAGAAGCATTTACGTCATCATTCACTCTATCACTGTCTTGCCAGAGGCGTACCTACACTACAGTTAAAAAGCTGCAACATATCAACACTCTCTACTTCAGAGTGCAGGCACTATACTTCTCACCACTGGGACTCAAGTACGGCCTGCTGGTTTCCCCGAATCCCTTCATAAATGTTATCCTGCTCACACTCCAACAGCATGTCAATTGTAAAAATTATTTGTCTACTCCTATCATGCTCACACATGCTTGCTGGAAGTCCAAGATCCTCACACAAAAAACCTCCTTTACCCCCTCCCTCCAACTTTTCCAAGGATGACCACTACCCTGCCTTCCTTCCACTACAGATTTATATGCTCTCCAAGTCATTCTATTTTGTTCCATCCTATCAAAATGTCTGAACAACCTCAATAACCCCTCCCCAGCCCTCTGGATAATACTTTTAGTAACCCTCCACCATCTCCTAATTTCTAAACTACAGATTCTCTGCATTATATTCACATCACACATTGCTCTCAGACATGAGGGAATTACTAGTGATATGAGCAAATTTGCCGATGACACAAAGATAGGAAGGATAATTGATTCAAACGTAGATGTTATGGAACTTCAGGAGGATTTAGACAAACTCTACTCTTGGTCAGAAAAGTGGCAGATGCAGTTCAATGTAGATAAATGCAAGGTTCTGAAGCTTGGGAGTGTCCATAACCTTAGCACTTATAAGTTAAATAATGTAGAACTTAGCCATACAGATTGCAAAAAGGACTTGGGGGTTATGGTGAGCAGCAACCTTAAACCAAGACAGCAATGCCTAAGCGTACGTAATAAGGCAAATAGATTACTGGGATTTATATCAAGAAGTGTAAGCAACAGAAGTCCAGAGGTCATACTGCAGCTTTATACATCATTAGTAAGGCCTCACCTAGATTATGCAGCTCAGTTCTGGTCTCCATATTACAGAATGGACATAAATTCGTTAGAAAACATTCAGCATAGGATGACTAAATTAATACATAGCATTAGAAATCTTCCTTATGAAGAAAGATTGAAGACTCTTAAGTTACATTCACTTGTTAGACGAAGAATGAGGGGAGACCTGATCGAAGTGTATAAGTGGAAGATAGGTATTAATAAAGGGGATATTAATAAGGTCTTGAGGATCTCTCTCCAAGAGAGAACCCACAGTAATGGATTTAAATTAGATAAGTTTAGATTTAGAAAGGACATAGGAAAGTATTGGTTTGGAAATAGGGTAGTTGATGAGTGGAACAGTCTACCTAGTTGGGTTATTGAGGCTGGGACTTTGGGTAGTTTCAAATTTAGGTTGGATAAGTACATGAGTGGGAGGGGTTGGATTTGAGTGGGACTTTCACATCAGAGCTTATTTCTTGGGTGGCATTGAAAATTGGGTTGGGCAAATGTTTTGTTAGTGGGATGAATTGTAAAGGACCTGCCTAGTATGGGCCAACAGGCCTCCTGCAGTGTTCCTCCTTTCTTATGTTCTTATGACATCCCCATTGCCTCCAGCCTATATCAATACAAATTCAAGGACATAATTGGAAGACAAAAGAACTATACAGACTCTCCTCACTTAGCGACATAGTCGTTTACCAATGCCTCGGACTTATGACAGGCTCTCTGACTAGTATTCATACCTAAATAATGTATATTAGAGCTGATTTCCTCTATTCTGTTTATTTCAATATACAGTACACTACTGTATAAACATTTAAAAATATACCAGAAATGTTATAAATGTGCAAAGGTGACATTAAGACACAAACTCACTACCATTATACAGGTGGTTCTCCACATTCGCGAGCTCCGCTTCTGAGAGCTTTGAACATTTGCGAATGCCCAGCCTAGATGGTGGTGAAGGGTTCGAGGACATGCAGGAGGGTGAGGCGAGAGAACTGGTTGAAGAACATGCACTGGGCCTAAATGATGAAGAGTTGTTGGAGATTGTGCAGGCAGAGAATGAGGATGAATACAGAAATAACCCACACATAGAAGAGAGGAGCTTACGGCATTACTAACGAGGATGAAGAAGAGTGTGTTGCTGAGGCCAATCAACCTCAAGCCCTCACCCTTGAAAAACTAGGACAAGCGATGAGAATGACAGCACAGCTCAAACAATTTTTTTACGACACAGACCCATCAATGTTGAGGACTTTGAAGGTGATGAACAACATTGATAGGAGCACAATTCCCTACAGAACTCTGTTTGTAGATATGAAGAGGAAACGGTCTCAGTTGCTCATCACAATGTTCTTCACAAGGAAGCCTGCCACTACCCCTGCCTCTACCCCTGCTGCTACCCCTTCCACTACCCCTGCCACTACCCCTGCCACTTCCCCTGCCTCTACCCCTGCTGCTACCCCTTCCACTACCCCTGCCACTTCCCCTGCCACTACCCCTGCCTCTACCCCTGCTGCTACCCCTTCCACTACCCCTGCCACTACCCCTTCTGCTACCCTTACTGCTTCACCTGAACCTTAACCCATGGCAGAATCTGACTCTGTTGCCAACTCTGACTCTAGTGATGTTGGCAGTGATGCTGGCAGTGAAAAGTTAGAATCCACACACTTGACTCATCATACCATCACCTCCATTCAACTGTCATCAGTAACTGCATGGCTAACTATCATAACAATCATCATCGTCATTGTCATCATCATCACAAGTCGTCAGAGTTCGTCTGCCTAACATTACAAGTGGTGAGTGTTTTGTTTGTTCATTATTTGTTATTAAACCATAACATGTATGTATATATAATACATGTATGTATTTTACGATGTTTTCATGTGTTTTATGATTGTTCATGCTTCAATAGGTTAAGGAAGCAGTATTGTCAGGCTAAGTAAGTGCTATTATTATATTTCCCTACAATATACGTATTTGTGCACCAAACATTCGTGAATTTTCAACATTCGTGAGGTTCTTGATCCCCTAACCCTCACGAATGTGGAGGGCCACTTAGCAATGAATTCACTTAACCCGTAAAAGGTCCAAACGTATATATACGTTTTTTCAACATTTGAAAGTACAGTGGACCCCTGCATAACGATCACCTCCGAATTCGACCAATTATGTAAGTGTATTTATGTAAGTGCGTTTGTACGTGTATGTTTGGGGGTCTGAAATGGACTAATCTACTTCACAATATTCCTTATGGGAACAAATTCGGTCAGTACTGGCACCTGAACATACTTCTGGAATGAAAAAATATCGTTAACCGGGGGACCACTGTATGTAAAAAAAAGTAGATTTTTGTTTTTTTTTACATTTGAAAATGTGTAAAAAACTTTGATCTACGTTTTTTTGTTGTTATATTTGAAAATATGTAAAAAAAACGTAGATCTACTTTTGTAGCACTAAACATGTGAACGTAGATCTGCCTGGACCGTTTACGGGTTAACGACGTGGTCTTCGGAACAGAACACCATTGTTAAGTGAGGAGACGCTGTATACCAAAAGAGACGAGGAAATCAATCCCTCAGGCTCGGAGTTGGCATGAAGGGCCCCATAGCTGCAGATGTTGCACACGTTTCTAATTTTCATTTGTTGGTATTGTATGCTATTCATGTACATGATTCAAAGAGTTTGGGGGAACACTGGCATTAATTAACTGCACCAAATTGAAAATCCCACTATTGAAACTCGCATTAATCAAGACCTAGCTGAAGCCTCCATCTGTTATATCTGGATATACTCTACCAGGGTATGTTATACCTGGGTATAACAGGTGAGTGGTAGTACCTGTTACATTTTCTCAGTCATAAAAGAATTATATACACGTTTTTTTTTTTTTTTTTTTAACAAGTCGGCCGTCTCCCACCGAGGCAGGGTGACCCAAAAAAAAAGAAAGAAAATCCCCAAAAAGAAAATACTTTCATCATCATTCAACACTTTCACCACACTCACACATTATCACTGTTTTTGCAGAGGTGCTCAGAATACAACAGTTTAGAAGCATATACGTATAAAGATACACAACATATCCCTCCAAACTGCCAATATCCCAAACCACTCCTTTAAAGTGCAGGCATTGTACTTCCCATTTCCAGGACTCAAGTCCGACTATATGAAAATAACCGGTTTCCCTGAATCCCTTCACTAAATATTACCCTGCTCACACTCCAACAGATCGTCAGGTCCCAAGTACCATTCGTCTCCATTCACTCCTATCTAACACGCTCACGCACGCTTGCTGGAAGTCCAAGCCCCTTACCCACAAAACCTCCTTTACCCCCTCTCTCCAACCCTTTCGAGGACGACCCCTATATATATACACGTACTACATATAAAACTTGGGTTATTTGAATGTGCAAGACTGCAAGACAGATCTGATTATAAGAAACTTGATTGTAAGAGATATTTGATGGTAAGAGAAATTTGATTGTTGGTGCTATGAATAAAAAGTATGTGCCCGAGTAGCACAAAAAACAGTGCTAAAATGGGTTTAACCCGTAAACGGTCCAAACGTATATATACGTTTTTTCAACATTTGAAAGTATGTAAAAAAAGTAGATCTTCTTTTTGTTTTTTTACATTTGAAAATGTGTAAAAAAACTTTGATCTACTTTTTTTTTGTTATAAATAACAAAAAGGCACAATACCGTGACTGGAACAATACACAAATAACCCGCACATAAAAGAGAGAAGCTTACGACGACATTTCGGTCCGACTTGGACCATTGACAAAGTGTGTGACTTTGTCAATGGTCCAAGTCAGACCGAAACGTCGTCGTAAGCTTCTCTCTTTTATGTGCGGGTTATTTGTGTATTTTTTTTGTTATATTTGAAAATATGTAAAAAAAAACGTAGATCTACTTTTGTAGCGCTACACATGTGAACGTAGTTATGCTTGGACCATTTACGGGTTAAGACTCTCAATGGGGTTAAATTGACTGCATCTGAGAGTAGTAGAGTAGAAGGCAACTGGTTGGCCGGACTTGAGTCCTGGAGGTGGGAAACACTTAGAATATAAAAACACAGCGTCATAGAATTAAAAAACAAAAAAAAATTATCTTATGAAATGTTAGAGAATCATTCTCTGAAGGTAATAAAACAAAAAGTACAAAATTTAATGGAAAACTGACGAAATTAAGCTTTTGCAAATTGTGTGTGTCAGTGATATTTACGCATTGGTGCTTTTTGCCCACTCAAGAGTCCTATTTTAGGCCAATTACATTGTTCCAGTAGGCAAAATTCTTAGCTACTTCGCTAGTATGTCTCATTTTATCGATTGAACACAAGAAACCGTCCAATCAACTATTTTTACCCAATAAAGTGATCAGAAAATGGTAATTTGGCCAATTTCACACAAATTTCAAACTACAGTAGTCCCCCCATATCCATGGAGAATATATGTTCCAATGACCTGCTGTAGATACCAACACCATGCATAGTAGCAAACCCTATGTATAAGTCCTATACAGTGGACCCTCGGCTAACGAACGCATTGTATAACGTTAAATCCGCCTAACGAAGTGTTTGAGCGTAAAAATTTTGGCCCGCCTAATGATAAAAAACTTTCTCAACGTGATTCGTCTGCCCTGCCGTCATTGTTTACAAGCCAGGGTGGCCGGTTTCATACATACATTTGATACATTTTGTATTATTCCATTGTTTACAGTGCTTGTAACTGTTAAATAAGCCACCATGGGCCAAAGAAAGCTTCTAGTGCCAACCCTGTGGTAAAAAGGGTGAGAAATACTATCGTACCACGGTCAGCTGCTGCTGCACCACCGTCAGCTGTTGCTGCACCACTGTCAGCTGTACTACTCGAAGATGTGGAGAGACTATTGTTGGTGTGGTTTAACGAGAAACAATTAACCCCTAGAGGGTTAGCCACCCAGGATAACCCAAGAAAGTCAGTGTGTCATTGAGGACTGTCTAACTTATTTCCATTGGGGTCCTTAATCTTGTCCCCCAGGATGTGACCCACACCAGCCGACTAACCTCCAGGTGAATAGGAAAAAATGCCTGGAACTAGTGCTCATATTGGTGAATTTAAGGCCAGCAAAGGTTGGTTTGAGAGATTTAAGAATTGTAGTGGCATACACAGTGTGATAAGGCATGGTGAACCTGAAAAATTCCAACCCCAACAAGTGTTCAATTGTGAGGAAACAGGCCTATTCTGGAAGAAAATGCCAAACAGGACCTACATTACTCAGGAGGAAAAGGCACTCCCAGGACACAAGCCTATGAAAGACAGGCTAACTCTCATGTTTTGTTGTAATGCTAGTGGGGATTGCAAAGTGAAGTCTTTACTGGTGTATCACTCTGAAAATCCCAGTGTGGTCAAGAAAAACAGTGTCTCATCACTCATCAATACTCTTCAATAAAGGTAAGTGTCATTTTAACATTTACTTATATAGTTATTGTGCATGTCTCATTGTTTTCTTTGTAGGGAAATGTATATTTCATGAAAAAACAAAAATAATTTTTAATACTTTTGGCTGTCTGGAACGGATTAATTGGATTTCCATTATTTCTTATGGGGAAAATTAATTTGGCTAACGATAATTTCGTCTAACGACGAGCTCTCAGGAACAGATTAATATTGTTAGCTGAGGGTCCACTGTACATACCTAATATAAAGTTTAATTGATAAATTAGACACAACGAGTGGAGAATTACCACTTTCACTGACGGGAAGCACTTCACAGCTTCTCTTAGGCTTTGATGAAGTGCCAGCTTCTCTACTTCTGCACTCTGTGGCCATTATTATGCACAAGATGAGGTATTTTGGGGTTACAGTAAACTGTGGGTAAATGAAACCACAGATAGTGAATCAGTGAATATGGGCGTTCTACTGTATACCAATTTCAAATAGGGTCCAGAATAAACAATGCAGGCATTCCTGGCACTAAAATAACATTTCCTCTGTTTAATAGTTGTATTTTTAGGCTTAACAGATGAATTCCATTTTGATTTTTTATTCACATAATGAATTTTTATTTACACCAAAATATACAAGATTTACTGTTATGCAATATCGTAATAATTGTATAAATAATATCAGCACATTCATGAATGCATATTAGATCCACCAGTTGAGGTGTATTGGACGAGTGACGTGATTTATTTACTCTTAAATATCAGCAAAAATCGAACATTTTCACTACTTTGAGCTCAATTTCAAGCTATTTTCATTCCTGAAACCAATCAAAATCATCCCTATTTCTGTAATATATCCTCCGTTTTATCATATGAGACCAAGAAACCAAACCATATGAAAATGCATTGCAAAGTCGCTGTTTTAAACCAAAAACATGGTCGCATTTTTTCTCATTATGCACTGCGTGCTGCAGAATTTTTTTTATATGTGGTGTACGCTTACTGTATAGACCCATTCTCTCATATCTAGGCCCAAATTTACCACTCACAGCTTATCTGAATGAGCTGAGCTCATGGTGTAGAACTACGGGACCGACCCAGGCTCAAAGCCGTAGAGTAACAGGACCCTCCCTGAAACGGTTAAGAATGAAGCTAGATACCCAAATGAACAGTGAAATACACCATGGGTACATACCAGCGCCCTAGAGTTGAGACAATGGCAGAGTGGGAGCCAATTATACACCTCGGTGAAGAGTTCAGCCATCTGCGAGGTGTACTTCGCCTTCACCTCTCCTTGGAAGCCATACATCTGGTTCATCGTCACGCTCTCGTGGTTACCTGAGGTGCAGAGGTACCTCACTGAGGTGCTTGTTGTGGCAACACACCAGTCTGGTGTGTCTCATACAAGAAAATATGGAATTATTCTTTTTTTAGCACAACAGCCATCTCCCATCAAGGACGGGTGACTCAAAAAACGAAGAAATATAAAGTTCTTCGTTTTATATTTAGTAATTTATACAGGAGAAGGGGTGACCAGCCTCTTGTTCCTGGCATTTAGTAATACAGGAGGGGTTACTAGCACCTTGCTCCAGGCATTTAGTAATTTTTACAGGTGTTACTAGCACCTTGATCCAGGCATTTAGTAATTTTTACAGGTGTTACTAGCACCTTGCTCCAGGCATTTTAGTCACCTATTACAACATGCATGGCTTATAGAGGAAGGATTCTTCTCCACTTTCCCAGGATACTATCTTTAAAAAAAAAAGAATTAAGAGGCCAAAGTAATTTACAAAATAATGTAAATTGGTACCAGTACTAGGTACAAAACCAGCTTTAACATATGGTAAATTTTAAATATGATAAGAATAATAATAGAATAATCTCCATGGGAAAGTGGAAAAGAATGCTTCCTTCAAAAGCTGGAAGAAAGGTGCTAGTAACCCGCTTCTCCTGTATAAATTACTGAATGTCAAAGGAAGACCTTTCTGACAGTATTTCTTCATTTTCAGGTCACACTGCCTAGGTGGGAGAAGGCCTGAGTGTTAAAAAAAAAAAAAAGAAGTCTTCATTGTAAGCAAATTCTCAAAAAGGAAAATCAAATATGACAATTAATAAGGATCACAGATGTAGCATAAAGCAGTCCTGACACATTGCCTCACTGCTCCTTACACAAACAAATAAACTTTATTTTTATAGAATACGGCACAGTGGCACCTCGAATTTCGAACAGCTCCCAACTCGAACAATTTGTAAGTGTATTTTTGTAAGTGCTTTTGTAAGTGTATTTTTGGGGGTCCGAAGTGGACTAACCTAATTTCCGTTATTCCTTATGGGAACAAATTCGTTCAGTAACGGCACTCGGACAGCCGTCTGGAATGAATTTCAGCCAAAATTCAAGGTACCACTGTATATTATAAAAGCTGAGTGACTGACATATGTAAACTACTTTATAGAAAGAACCTTGTTATGCACGGCATTTCTGGCAGCCTTAAACCCAAGTTCTTTTTTTTTAACACTCCTGCCGTCTCCCACCGAAGGAGGGTGACCCAGAAAAGAATCACTTTCACCATCATTCACACATAATCACTGTCTTTGCAGAGGTGTCCAGATATCACACTTTAGATGACACTCCAAACAGCTAATATCCCAAACAAATATGAGAAGATAAGAACACATAGTTTATATTATACTGGAGGTATTTAGTTAATGCAATATAAAATTATAATTGCCCACGTAGTAGGTTGGTAGACAGGAACTGCCCAGGGAGGTACTACCGTCCTGTGGTAGTAGGTTAGTAGACAGGAACTGCCCAGGGAGGTACTACCGTCCTGTGGTAGTAGGTTGGTAGACAGGAACTGCCCAGGGAGGTACTACCGTCCTGCCAAGTGAATGTACAATGAAAGCCTGTAATTGTTTTACATGATGGTAGGATTGCTGGTGTCTTTTTTCTGTCTCATAAACGTGCAAGATTTCACGTACATCTTGCTACTTCTACTTACACTTAGGTCACACTACACATACATGTACAAGTATATATATACACACCCCTCTGGGTTTTCTTCTATTTTCTTACTAGTTCTTGTTCTTGTTTATTTCCTCTTATCTCCATGGGGAAGTGGAATAGAATTCTTCCTCCATAAGTCATGTGTGTCATGAAAGAAGACTAAAATGCCGGGAGCAAGGGGTTAGTAACCCCTTGTCCTGTATACATCACTAATGTTAAAAGAGAAACTTTTGTTTTTTCTTTTTGGGCCACCCTGCCTCAGTGGGATACTGCCGGTCTGTTGAAAGATGAAGTACTGTTGTCACTTTCTCTTGTAAGCTTGGTGGTGAAAATGGTAGAGCATCGGTCTGTCAATTTACAGGTCATGGTTCATGCGTCCTGTCCATCTTTTTTGTTTGTTCACTACATGTATGTATTTAACCCGTAAACGGTCCAAACGTATATATACGTTTTTTCAATATTTGAAAGTATGTAAAAAAAGTAGATCTTCTTTTTGTTTTTTTACATTTGAAAATGTGTAAAAAAAACTTTGATCTACTTTTTTTTTTGTTATATTTGAAAATATGTAAAAAAAACGTAGATCTACTTTTGTAGCGCTACACATGTGAACGTAGATCTGCTTGGACCATTTATGGGTTAAGGACATTAAATGCATACAAGTAAGATTGAATTATAAGGAGTAGAGACAAGATTTTTGGGACTTGTTGAGCGGTTTGTGTGACAGAAAAGAAATATTTTTTAAGGGATTCAGGGAAACCAGTTAGTCAGACTCGAGTAGTGGAAGTGGGAAGTACAGTGCACTCTGAAGGAGGGGTTTTGGATATCTGTTGTTTGGAGGGACATCGAAACTGTTCTATGTGCACGCTTCTGGCAAGACAGTGATTATATGAATGATTGTGAAAGCGTTTCTTTTAAGGGTCAATCTGCCTTGGTGAGAGATGGCCAGCATGTTAAAAATATAAATGTGTTAACAAAGAAGGAAGGGTAGGGGTTGTCCTCAAAAAGGTTGGAGGGAGAGGGTAAAGGAGCTTTTGTGGGCGAGGGGTCTGGACTTCCACTAAGCGTGTGTCAGCGTGTTAGATAGGAGTGAATGGAGATGAATGGTTTTTGGGATCTGATTAGCTGTTGGAGTGTGAGCAAGGTAATATTTTGTGAAGGAATTGAGGGTAACCGGTTAGCCAGACTTGAGTCCTGGAAATGGGAAGTAAAATGCCTGAACTTTAAAGGAGGGGTTTGGGATATCTGCAGTTTGGAGGGACATCTAAACTGTCGTATCAGAGCGCCTCTGCAAAGACAGTGATTATGTATGAATGATGGTGAAAGTTTTTTTTTCTTTTTTTTTGGGTTACTCTGCCTCGGTTGTGTTAAAAAAAAAGTAGATTAAATATATCACTGTACATGATCATGAGAAAAAATATTTATAGTTTAGCAAGTTTAGTTATCATCCTGCAGCAGCCAGACTCGTCAGTCGTACAATGGGAGACACTCACCTCTAGACATAAAGAAGTGATTGGGGTAGAGGAGCTTGAAGCCGAATAAGACGAAAATACACTCCACGGAAAAGGACCCTCTGTCAACAAAGTCTCCATTGAACAGATATGGATTTGTGGTTGAAGGGAGTCCGTTAAGATCAAAAATGTTCATGAGATCATAGTACTGGCCGTGAATGTCACCGCACACCGTGAACTTGGAGTCATCAGGAATGGTGACGTCTACCAGGGTGGGCTGCTTTGTTAGTTGTTCCTTAACGTCTAAAAGTATCTGACAAGAAACAATACAAATATTAAATGTATTGACAACATCAGCATCATACGGTAAACCCTCAATAAAATGGACCCCAATACAGTGGACCCTCGCCTAACGATATTAATCAGTTCCTGAGAGCTCATTGTTAGCCGAAATTATTGTTAGCAGAGTTAATTTTCCCCATAAGAAATAATGGAAATCCAATTAATCCGTTCCAGACAGCCAAAAGTATTAAAAATTATTTTTGTTTTTTCATGAAATATACATTTCCCTACAAAGAAAACAATGAGACATGCACAATAACTATATAAGTAAATGTTAAAATGACACTTACCTTTATTGAAGAGTATTGATGAGTGATGAGACACTGTTTTTCTTGACCACACTGGGATTTTCAGAGTGATACACCAGTAAAGACTTCACTTTGCAATCCCCACTAGCATTACAACAAAACATGAGAGTTAGCCTGTCTTTCATAGTCTTGTGTCCTGGGATTGCCTTTTCCTCCTGAGTAATGTAGGTCCTGTTTGGCATTTTCTTCCAGAATAGGCCTGTTTCCTCACAATTGAACACTTGTTGGGGTTGGAATTTTTCAGGTTCGCTGTCAGCATAGTTGCTGATCCCTGTGTTGTATAGCATATCATAGTACCATCCATGTGTTTATATAGAAGACCCCTTAGGCCAAGTGACTGTTTGTGTGACGTCACGGGATGCGCATGTGTACGTTCGTACCTCTGCCTCCCTCTCAGTTGGCGTTTGACATAGGCAGGACAAGGCAGAGGCTGGGTTCCATCTCCCATCATCACAGTCTGGCAATATAGCGTTACCATCCAACAAGTGTGTCTATCTTCAACCCTCGATATCTCCTTTTAAGAGCCCCTACGATATCACCATGCCTTATCACATTGTGTATGCCACTACGATTCTTAAATCTCTCAAACCAACCTTTGCTGGCCTTAAATTCACCAATATGAGCACTAGTTCCAGGCATTTTTACCTGTTCACCTGGAGGTTAGTCGACTGGTGTGGGTCACATTCTGGGGGACAAGATTAAGGACCCCAATGGAAATAAGTTAGACAGTCCTCGATGACACACTGACTTTCTTGGGTTATCCTGGGTGGCTAACCCTCCGGGGTTAATCGTTTCTTGGTAATTGTTTCACGTTAAGCCACACCAACAACAGTCTCTCCACATCTTTGAGTAGTACAGCTGATGGTGGTGAAGCAACAGCTGACTGTTGTGCAGCAGCAGCTGACTGTGGTGCAGCAACAGCTGACTGTGGTGCAGCAGCAGCTGACTGTGGTGCAGCAACAGCTGACTGTGGTGCAGCAGCAGCTGACTGTGGTGCAGCAGCAGCAGCTGACTGTGGTGCAGCAACAGCTGACTGTGGTGCAGCAGCAGCTGACCGTGGTGCAACAGCAGCTGACTGATCCAGCAACAGCTGACCCTAGTGCAGCAACAGCTGACTGGTCCAGCAACAACTGACCCTAGTTCAGCAACAGCTGACTGGTCCAGCAACAGCTGACTGGTCCAGCAACAGCTGACGGTGGTGCAGCAGCAGCTGACTGTGGTACGATAGTATTTCTCACCCTTTTTACCACAGGGTTGGCACCAGAAGCTTTCTTTGGGCCCATGGTGGCTTATTTAGCAGTTACAAGCACTATAAACAATGGAATAATACAAAATGTATTGAATGTATGCATGCAACCAGCCACCCTGGCTTGTAAACAATGACGGCAAGGCAGCTGAAGCGCTCAGGATGGACGGACAGGTTTGGGAGGAATCATGTTGGGCGAGTTTTTTATCGTTAAGCGGGCCAAAATTTTTACACTCAAATGCTTCGTTAGGCGGATTTAACGTTATGCGATGCGTTCATTAGGCGAGGGTCCACTGTACATGTATAATGGTCCTCGATATAACAGGCTTCAATATAATGGACCTGGATATAATGGACCTGGATATAATGAACCTAGATATAAAGGACCTTAACCCTTTGACTGTTTCGGTCGTATATATACGTCTTACTCGCCACTGCAGCACGCAATGCATAATGAGAAAAAAAAAAATGACAATTTTTTTGGATTAAAACGCCGACTTTGAGGTGTATTTTAGTATAGTATTTATCGTTGTATTCTCGTTTTCATGGTCTCACATGATAAAATGGAAAACATATGACAAAAATAGAGATGATTTTGATTACTTTCAAGATGAAAACAACCTTGAAATTGAGTTCAAATTAGCGGAAATGTTTGATTTTTACCAATGTTCAGGAGTAAGCAAATCACACCACACGTCCAATACACGTCAACTGGGGAGTCTAATATTCTTTCACTAGTGCACTGATATTATTTATACCATTTTTACAATAATGCAGTAGTCTGCATAACAGTAAATTTTGTATTTTTTGTATGAATAAAAAAATTAAAATAGAAAGCAATAGGGGCCTAGAGATGTGACTGATGAACAGAGGATATGTTATTTTAGTGCCAAGAATGTCTATATTGTTTATTCTGGACCCTATTTTGAAATTGGCATCTTTTTTATTTTGTACAAAATTGGCCAAATTGCCAATTTCTGACCACTTTATTTGGTAGTTCAAATTGATAAATGGGCAGTTTCTTGTACTCAACTAATAGAAAAAATGGAGTTTTAAAGAAATAGCTATGAGTTTGGTCAACTGGAACAACGGAAGTGGTAAAAAATCAGGGCTCAAAGTCGGCAAAATCACCGATGCGTATATGTCGCTGAGACCGCTAACTTCGCAGGAACGTAATTCCACGAGTTTTCGACCAAATTTCGTACTTTTGGTGTCATTACCACCGGGAAAAGATTCTCTATCATTTCATAAGAATTTTTTTTTTTTTCCCAAAAATTTTGCGACATAGAATGACAGTTTCAGAAATGGGCTTGCAACAGTCAAAGGGCTAATATAATGGACCCTGATATAATGACCTTGATATAATGGACCATGATATAATGTAATTCGTTATAATGAAGCTTGATATAATGTACAACAATATAATGAACCTCGACATAATAGACATTGATCAAACCGACTTATGAAATAACAGACAAAATCCACAGGATAAATTGTTCTGTAAATGTATTTACAATCAGTGTTTATTGTAATACAACAGTACACTGTGTACAGTAATATATAAGGTGTACAGTGGAGTACTTTACTGATTATTTTTTTAATAATTTTTAATTATTCCAATTTAAGAAACTCTGGCAATCTGCTTCTATTAGTACATTATACTAACAGTTTAGTGTTTGCATGAGGAACCCCTAGTATGCAGGGAGATGCACTAAACCCTTAGGGGGTCATAGAGGCCCTGGGGGATCGGGGGAAAATTGGGTTTAATCAAAGGGAGGGTAGCTCCAATTTCTTGGATCAAGGTTCCTTCACTAGCATCAGGGCACCTTCTCCTCTATTAAAGACAAGAATGAGACAAGCAGCCTGTGTCTGACTAGTTATTGGTCCAAACTGCACCAAAACATCGTCATAAGTTGGAATCAGTTTTTTTTTTAATACCAGCTGTTTCCCACCAAGGCAAGGCGACCCAAAAAAGAAAAAAAAGCAAAGGTTTCCCTCCTTTGCACATTTAGTAATTTATACAGGTGGTGTTACTAGCACCTTGCTCCCAGCAAATATTTAATAATTTATACAGGTGTTACTAGTAGGTAGTAGGCGGGTAGACAGCAACTGCCCAGGGAGGTACTACCGTCCTGTGGTAATAGGCTGGTAGACAGCAAGTGCCCAGGGAGGTACTACCGTCCTGTGGTAATAGGCTGGTAGACAGCAAGTGCCCAGGGAGGTACTACCATCCTGCGAAGTGAGTGTAAAACGAAATCCTGTAATTGCTTTACATGACGGTAGGATTGCTGGCGTCTTTTTTCTGTCTCGTAAACATGCAACATTTCAAGTACATCTTGCTACTTCTACTTACACTTAGATCACACTACATATACATGTACAAGCATATATATATACACACCCCTCTTGGTTTTCTTACTAGTTCTTGTTCTTCTGTATTTCCTCTTATCTCCTTGGGGAATTGGAACAGAATTCTTCCTCCATAAGCCACTCGTGTCGTAAGAGGCGACTAAAATGCCAAGAGCAAGGGGCTAGTAACCCCTTCTCCTGTATACATTACTATATTTAAAAAGAGAAACGTTTGTTTTTCTTTTTGGGCCGCCCCGCCTTGGTGGGATACGGCCGGTTTGTTGAAAGATACATGTGTTCATATTTGACTTACGATATTTTTGACTTACGATATTTTTGACTTACGATATTTTTGACTTACGATGGGTTCATCGCAATGAATCCTGTCATGAGTCAAGGACCACCTGTATGTTATTCCACAGGACAGTCACTAGGTGCAGTGCAAACCTCTACTTAGACAACAGAGTTTGGTAACTCAATTGTGACTCGTGAAATTGTAAAAATTGACAACAGAGTTTGGTAACTCAATTGTGACTCGTGAAATTGTAAAAATTGACAACAGAGTTTGGTAACTCAATTGTGACTCGTGAAATCGTAATAACACAATTGAAAACAAGTCACGGAGCATTGATTTGTTTGGTGTACAGAAATACTGCTAGTTGGGTGAATCTTGTTAGAGCCAACTGGTCAAATGGTTAACACAATGCCCTGTTAGGTTTAGCACTCACTTGTCACGGGTTCAAACTCCCACCTATTCCATGATTTGAAAAAATTGGTAAGTTGCTTAGAGCAAAATGTCATCCAACAGAGGTTAGCCTTGGATGTAGTCTTTCTACTGTACAGTACGGTCAAGTCTTGCCTCTGAGACTTTACCTTGTATGCACAGTGCTGGTGTAGTGTCTTTCAACTATACTGGAAGGCAAGAATTGCTTCTGAGACTTTACCATGTACACATACTGTTGTAGTGTCTTTCAATTATAATGAGACTACCTTGTATGCATAGTGTTGGTGTAGTGTCCTTCTACTATACTTGATGGCAAGTCTTGCCTCCAAGATTTTACCTTGTAAGCATACTGGAAGGCAACTCTTGCCTCTGAGAATTTACCTTGTACGCATAGCGTCGGTGCAGTTTCTTCTGGACTTTGTAATGCTCCATTAGCTCTTTCATAAAACTCTCTGTCACCTTGCCATCCTCGAGGCGCGGACCTATGTAGTCATCTTCTATAGCTGAAATACAAAAGAATAAAAAGTGAAACTCTCATGTACTCGTAAAACCTATAACGAAATCGCAAACGCGTGAATGGAAATAAGGTGGAGATGGTGGAATGGAAAGAAGGATGAGAGGGAGGAACAGAAAGAAGAATGGAAAGAATATAAAGAAGGGAGGAATGGGCACACAGTTTCAGAATTTAAACTGACCCTCTCTGGCCGGCCCCACGTGTGCCCGCACACGCATACACACACACATCTGGGCGACTACAGTTATACAAAGATAACAATAATTTTTAAAGTGGTGGATTAGTAAGCCAGTGGAATGCCTCAGTCAGATGACCAAAAGCTCCAGCTGTGGGTCACCAAATGACTAAGACCCGTGTCAGGAAACACTTGCCCTGTTTCCTGACAAACCTAACCTAACCTACAGTTATACAGTGAATCTGGTCAAGGTTTAAGCCTCTACCCTTCCTTGCACTGAATGATCCATGTAGGTTTAGTGCTTCAAGTGAATAATAACAACTTTGATCAATAAGCAATCCAAGAAAGGTATCCTCCATATCCCATAAGCTCAGCCTTATCTACATCAACACACTAGAGAAACAATACAGGATGAAGCATATACAGTGGACCCCCGCTTAACGATCACCTCCCAATGTGACCAATTATGTAAGTGTATTTATGTAAGTGCGTTTGTACGTGTATGTTTGGGGGTCTGAAATGGACTAATCTACTTCACAATATTCCTTATGGGAACAAATTCGGTCAGTACTGGCACCTGAACATACTTCTGGAATGAAAAAATATCGTTAACCGGGGGTCCACTGTATCTCACTTGAGTATGCTGTTATGGCAGTGTGTAGATTTATTGCCAGGCTCTATGTATCTTCCACATATATATTATCACATATCTCTCTGCTACACCGAATACATATTTAGAACTCTGAGGAGTTCCCGGTAATTTAGATTATTTATTGGCTCTATGAGGGCTGTAAATGATCCCTGTATTTTTTCCAGCTATGATATCCCTCCTGCCCTGAAAGGAGCCATCAACAATGAACAGTACTCCAAGCGAGAGAGCATAAACGATTTGAAAAGCGTCATCAACGGCACAATTTCCCTTGTTTTGAAAGTTCTCATTGTATAACCCATCATTATTCTGGATTTTGTGATATTTGCCTTATTGTGCACTTTGAAAGAGGTTAGCTGACATTATTACATCCATATCCTTCAGTTGTTCTCTCATTCTATTTGGTGATCCTTTTGCATTTTGTATACAGTGTTTCTCTTGAGTTCTTCATTCTTTCCATATCCAAGCAATGGAAACCTGTCACTACTGAAAATCATGTTATTCTCCACTAGTCACTGGATGACTTAGTTTTTATCTTCCAGGAAGCTTCAGTGACTTCTATTAAGGTGATATTCATGCTTATTTTGGTATCATCTGCATATGATGATACAAAACCTTAGTGGACGTTTTTATTTATGACCGTATAATAAGAAACAGTAAAGGTGCCAGGATGGTGCCTTGGTGTACAGATCTGTTTTACTTCGCTAATGCTGATTTTACTCTATTTAATACTACTATCTGCATTCTGTTAAACCAATTGAAAAGCTATTTGCATACTTTTCCCAGTATACCTACTACCCTCAATTTATGTGCAATTATTACACAATCGCATTTGTCAAATGCCTTTGCAAAATCCGTGTATATGACATTTACATTTTGGTTTCCTACCAACTCCCAAATTCTTCAAATTGTGTACAAAAATTGTAAACAATTCAAATGGAAATAAGTCACTCTGTCTGACTTTTTTGGGTTATCCCAGGTTCTCTACACATATGCTGCTATGTATGATAATTCTACGTAACTGTTTTTGTGTATACCTGAATAAACTTACTTACTTACTGAGACCACTTCACGAGACTCATAATATGCACTAATCGAGACCTAGCTGTATACATATATGTATTTTACACAGACCTTGTATACATCTGTGTTCAGTTTTTCCAAGCACCAGTAATAGTTTAGTGTTTGTCATTGTTTTCCAGGTTAAGCCTCATAGTTAAAAAAATCATGGAATGGCTTGAATCCATGGTAGGCAAATCCTGAAAACTCACTAGTTATGGTGCTAACCTCCCTATGGTGTATAGAATTATACCCAGCTGGATGATCTTATTAGAGCCAGCTGGCCCAGTGGTTAATACAGTGGCCAGTGAGTTAACACACTTACCCATTCCCTGATATATTTGCAATCGTGTTATTATGATTTCATGAGTCATGTCTGATAGTTCTTCATTTTGTCCCAGTCAATTCTCTGATCGTTAAATTTACAAACTATTACTTCTCACATGCTATATTTGGAGCTTTCTACCCCTGAACTTATACTTTTGTGTATGTAGCAGTAGTTCCCCGTATCTGCAGGTGATATGTTGTGATCCGAGTAGAGTAGTCCCCCCAGTATCTGCTGGTGATATGTTGTGATCTTAGTAGAGTAGTAGTCCCCTGTATCTGCAGGTGATATGTTGTGATCCGAGTAGAGTAGCCCCCCCTGTATCTGCAGGTGATATGTTGTGATCCGAGTAGAGTAGTCCCCCCAGTATCTGCTGGTGATATGTTGTGATCTTAGTAGAGTAGTAGTCCCCTGTATCTGCAGGTGATATGTTGTGATCCGAGTAGAGTAGCCCCCCCTGTATCTGCAGGTGATATGTTGTGATCCGAGTAGAGTAGTCCCCCCAGTATCTGCAGGTGATATGTTGTGATCCGAGTAGAGTAGTCCCCCCCTGTATCTGCTGGTGATATGTTGTGATCTTAGTAGAATAGTCCCCCCTGTATCTGCAGGTGATATGTTGTGATCCGAGTAGAGTAGTCCCCCCAGTATCTGCAGGTGATATGTTGTGATCCGAGTAAAGTAGTCCCCCCCTGTATCTGCTGGTGATATGTTGTGATCTTAGTAGAGTAGTCCCCCCCTGTATCTGCAGGTGATATGTTGTGATCTGAGCAGAGTAGTCCCCTCCTGTATCTGCTGGTGATATGTTGTGATCTTAGTAGAGTAGTCCCCCCCTGTATCTGCAGGTGATATGTTGTGATCTGAGTAGAGTAGTCCCCCCCTGTATCTGCAGGTGATATGTTGTGATCTTAGTAGAGTAGTCCCCCCCTGTATCTGCAGGTGATATGTTGTGATCTTAGTAGAGTAGTCCCCCCCTGTATCTGCAGGTGATATGTTATGATCAGAGTAGAGTAGACCCCCCGGTATCCGCAGGTGATATACTGCAACACCTGTGGATGCCCAAAACTGCGGATAGTAATGAACCTTATATGCGTTTGGGTTTGGGTGTGAGAAAGACCTGTCTAGCATGTGCCAGTAGACTTGCTGTAGTGTTCCTCCTTTCTTATGTTCTAATGTTATCCATGATTCCATCTCGCCTGTGCTACTCTTCATGTATGCTTCTCCCCTTTTTGTGTTACTTTGCCTATGTGTTTTACTATCACCTGTGGCCTCCATCATTTTTTCACTTTTCCATTAAACTTGAGTCCTGGAGGTGGGAAGCACAGTGCCTACACTCTGAAGGAGGGGTGTTAATGTTGCAGATTTATAACTGTAGTGTAAGCAGGCCTCTGGCAAGACAGTGATGGAGTGAATGATGATGAAAGTTTTTCTTTTTCAGGTGGGAAATGGCTAATGTGCTAATAAATAATAAATCTTTTTTTAAAGTTTTTAACATACCAGCCATCTCCCACCGAGGTAGGGTGACCTGAAAAAGGAGAAAGACTGTTCCCGTCACTCAAACTATTACAGATCTCCCTCAACATTTGCGAGGGTTAGGGGATCAAGAGCCTCGCGAATGTTGAAAAACCGTGAATGTTTGGTGCCCCAATATATTGTAGGGAAATATATTACAATACTGCTTCCTTAACTTGTTGAACCATGAATAATCATAAAAAACATGAAAACGTCGTAAATTGTACTAAATATATACATGTTATGCTTTAATAACGTATGTTATTTAATAACATGTATGTTAATAACATGTATGTTATTAAATACCACAGACACCACCACTGGGAGTCCCTACTACCCTCCCTCCGACCCCCGCAACTGGCAGCCAGCCCTCCCACCACTCAGTGTGGTGAGTGTTTTAAGAACATAAGAACATAAGAACGAAGGAACACTGCAGAAGGCCTACTGGCCCATGCGAGGCAGGTCCAAGTCTCCTACCGGCTTAAGCCAATGCACCCAACCTAGTCAGGTCAGGTCACATTGACTTAAGGGAGGAACACGGCAACCGACCTGGTAGCACAAGCTATCAGGTCTAACTCACACCCACCCACATCCACTCATGTATTTATCCAACCTATTTTTAAAGCTACACAACGTTCTGGCCTCTATAACGGTACTTGGGAGTTTGTTCCACTCATCCACAACTCTATTACCAAACCAGTACTTTCCTATATCCTTCCTGAATCTGAATTTTTCCAACTTAAAACCATTGCTGCGAGTCCTGTCTAGGCTAGATATTTTCAGCACACTATTTACATCCCCTTTATTTATTCCTGTCTTCCATTTATACACCTCAATCATATCCCCCCTAATTCTACGTCTTTCTAGAGAGTGCAGATTCAGGGCCCTTAGTCTATCCTCATAGGGAAGGTTTCTGATACATGGGATCAACTTTGTCATCCTCCTTTGTACATTTTCCAGAGAATTTATATCCATTCTGTAATAAGGTGACCAAAACTGTGCAGCATAATCTAAATGAGGCCTAACCAAGGATGTATAGAGTTGAAGAACAACCTGAGGACTCCTATTATTTATGCTTCTTGATATGAAGCCAAGGATTCTATTAGCTTTATTGCGAACACTTATGCACTGTTGTCTTGGTTTCAGATTACTGCTAACCAGAACTCCTAAATCTTTTTCGCAATCCGTAATATTAAGATCTACATTATTTAGTTTATATGTGGCATGATTATTGTCCTGTCCAACATTTAGAACTTTGCATTTGTCTATATTAAACTGCATCTGCCACTTCTCCGACCACTGCATCAGTCTATTCAAATCTTCCTGGAGTGCTCGAATGTCCTCGTCAGAATGAATTCGACGGCCTATTTTGGTGTCATCGGCAAACTTGCCGATGTCGCTCTTTATGCCCTCATCTATGTCGTTTATGTAGATTGTGAACAGCAGGGGGCCCAACACTGACCCCTGTGGAACACCGCTCGTGACACTTCCCCACTCTGATTTCTCCCCATTTATGCAAACTCTCTGCTGCCTATTTGTCAACCATGCCTCTATCCAGGAAAAAATTTCTCCTCCTATTCCATGTGCTTTAATTTTCCTCAATAGTCTCTGATGTGGGACCCTGTCAAAAGCCTTACTGAAGTCCATATACACAATATCATATTCATTACCATGATCTACCTCCTCAAATACCTTAGTGAAAAAAGTTAATAAATTCGTAAGGCAGGAACGCCCCTTTGTAAAACCATGCTGAGATTCGTTGATTAATTTATGCTTTTCAAGGTGGCTACGAACTGCCTCGGCAATTATTGATTCCATAAATTTTCCCACTATGGAGGTTAGGCTTATTGGTCTATAGTTCGAAGCTAAGGACCTGTTTTTGTTTGTTCATTATTTGCTATTAAACTACAGTATAAATAATGTAAACCCATTCATGACTGCATATTGGAATGGCTATTAGGAAAGGTATTAGACGGTGACATCATGTGTTTACTCTTGAACACAGCAAAGAATCGAACATTTCTGCTATTGCTAATAATAACAATAGCAACAATAATAATAATAATAATAATAATAATAATAAATATGATATAATTGAAGAAGGAAATTGTACAAAAATACGAGGGAGTGGTTGACACATCATCAGTGTGACTTTGTTTATGCTGGAGTGAACATTAGTCTCCCTGCTCTTCCAAACATTTCACAATAATTCAGAAGTTGAGGCAGTGGTATTTAATAACATATATGTTATAAATAATAATAGTACATGTTATTATTAATAACATGTATTATTATTAACATGTATGTATTTAATAACATATGTTATAAATATTAATAATACAGTGGACCCCCGCATAACGATATTAATCCATTCCTGAGAGCTCATTGTTATGCGAAATTATCGTTATGCGAATGAATTTTCCCCATAAGAAATAATGGAAATCAAATTAATCCGTGCAAGACACCCCAAAGTATGAAAAAAAAATTTTTACCACATGAAATATTAATTTTAATACACACAAACTGAAAAAGACATGCACAGTTACATGACACTTACCTTTATTGAAGATCTGGTGATGATTGATGGGATGGGAGGAGGAGAGAGTCTTAGTGTTTAGAAGGGGAATCCCCTTCCATTAAGACTTGAGGTGTCAAGTCCTTTTCTGGGGTTACTTCCCTTCTTCTTTTAATGCCACTAGGACCAGCTTCAGAGTCACTGGACTTTTGTCGCACAACATATCTGTCCATAGTGGCCTGTACCTCTCGTTCCTTTATGACTTCCCTAAAGTGTTTCACAACATTGTCAGTGTAATAGTCACCAGCACGGCTTGCAATAGCTGTGTGAGGGTGATTTTCATCCATAAAGGTTTGCACTTTCAGCCACATTGCACAGATTTCCTTAATCTTTGTAGTAGGCAACTTCTTCAATTTCTCTCTCCCCTCCTCCGAACCAGTTTCCTCAGGTCTGGCCTCTTGCTGTTGAAGTTAATCTATCAGCTCATCAGTGGTTAGTTCTTCATTGTCCTCCTCCAACAACTCTTCCACATCATCCCCACTAACCTCCAACCCCAAGGACTTTCCCAATGCCACAATGGATTCCTCAACTGGCATAGGATTCCCAGGGTTAGCCTCAAACCCTTCAAAATCCCTTTGGTCTACACATTCTGGCCACAGTTTCTTCCAAGCAGAGTTCAAGGTCCTCTTAGTCACTCCCTCCCAAGCCTTACCTATAAGGTTTACACAATTGAGGATATTAAAGTGATCTCTCCAAAACTTTCTTAGAGTCAATTGAGTTTCTGAGGTCACTACAAAGCACCTTTCAAACAGCTTTTGTGTACAGTTTTTTGAAGTTTTCAATAACCTGCTGGTCCATGGGCTGCAGGAGAGGAGTGGTATTAGGAGGCAAAAACTTCACCTTAATGAAGCTCATGTCCCCATAAAGTCGCTCTGCCACGTCTGTAGGATGACCAGGGGCATTGTCTAACACCAGGAGGCACTTAAGGTCTAATATCTTTTCAGTTAGGTAATCTTTCACATTGGGGGCAAATGCTTGGTGTAACCAGTCATAGAAAAAGTCCCTAGTGACCCATGCCTTACTGTTTGCCCTCCACAGCACACACAAATTAGCCTTGAGGATATTCTTTTGCCTGAATGCTCTGGGAGTTTCAGAGTGATACACTAATAAAGGCTTCACTTTGCAATCACCACTAGCATTGGAACACATCAACAGAGTAAGCCTGTCTTTCATAGGCTTATGTCCTGGGAGTGCCTTTTCCTCCTGAGTAATGTAGCTCCTGCTTGGCATTTTCTTCCAAAACAGGCCTGTTTCATCACAATCAAACACTTGTTCAGGTTTCAGTCCTTCACTGTCTATGTACTCCTTGAATTCCTGCACATATTTTTCAGCTGCTTTGTGGTCCGAACTGGCAGCCTCACCATGCCTAATCACACTATGTATGCCACTACGCTTCTTAAATCTCTCAAACCAACCTTTGCTGGCCTTAAATTCACTCACATCATCACTAGTTGCAGGCATTTTTTTAATTAAATCCTCATGCAACTTCCTAGCCTTTTCACTTATGATCACTTGAGAGATGCTATCTTCTGCTATCTGTTTTTCATTTATCCACACCAATAAGAGTCTCTCAACATCTTCCATCACTTGTGATCTCTGTTTCGAAAACACAGTTGAACCTTTGGCAAGAAAAGCTTCCTTGATTGCCGTTTTGTTGGACACAATAGTAGCGATGGCTGATTGGGGTTTACTATACAACCTGGCCAGCTCGGAGACACGCACTCCACTTTCATACTTAGCAATGATCTCTTTCTTCATCTCTATAGTAATTCTCACCCTTATTCTTGTAGGGTTGGCACTAGAAGCTTTCTTGGGGCCCATGGTCACTAATTTTGCAGATAAAATCACCAAAAACACTGTAATAATATGAAATGTTCCGATTGTATGCTTGGATGTTACCGCGGAGGCTGGCTGGTAAACAATGCCACTGGCGGAACAAATGAGGCTGGCTCAGGCTGCACATTAGACGCGTCTCGGACGAATAGCGTTGAGTGGGCTTTTTAACGGTATGCGAGGCAAAATCTTAGCGATAAAATGTATCGGTATGCGGATTTAACGTTATGTGATGCCAACGGTATGCGGGGGTCCACTGTAGTACATATTATTAATAACACGTATTAACATGTATGTTATTAAATACCATTGCCTCAATCACTGCCTTTACCACTCCAGTCACACTCAATCTACAAGCACCAAACACAATGAATTATTGTGAAATGTTTGGAAGAGCACTGAGACTAATGTTCACTCCAGCATAAACAAAGTCACACTGATGATGTGTCAACCACTCCCTTGTATTTTTGTACAATTTCCTTCTTCAATTCTATCATATTTATTATCATTATTATTATTATTATTACTATTGTTATTATTAGCTGTAGCAGAAATGTTTAATTCTTTGCAGTGTTCAAGAGTAAACACATGATGTTACCGTCTAATACCTGTCCGAATAGCCATTCCAACATGCAGTCAAGAATGGGTTTACATTATTTATACTGTAGTTTAATAGCAAATAATGAACAAACAAAACACTCGCCACACTGAGTGGTGGGAGGGCTGGCTGCCAGTTGCGGGGGTCGGAGGGAGGGTAGTAGGGACTCGCAGGTGGCGGGAAACTTAAATATGATTTGGCGGCTGGGAATTTGGCGGTTGGGAATTCGCGAATGTGTGAAGCCCGTGAAAATTGAAAACATGAATGTTGAGGGAGACCTGTACTGTCTTGCCAGAAGCATGCTGATACTACAGTTCAGATGCCTCTCCAAACAGCAAATATCCCACCCCTCCTTCAAAGTGCAGGCACCGTACTTCCTAACTCCAGGAGTCAAGTCCGGCTAACTTGCAATTTCTAGTAATTTCTCTCCGAAAGATATTTTTATGTGTGTGTTCATTGTCATGATTCACTGTGTTATATTCTAGCACTGTTTACTGTTGCTCTCACAGTAGCAAAAATACTTTTCATATTCAATACTGTTACATGCATTGGATAACACTTCCCTACATGACAAGAGGAAGCTGGACAGATACCAAAAGTCAGTACCCGATCAGCCAGGCTATGGTTCGCACATAGTTCAATGTAACAATCTGACTGACCAGGCCCTGATCTACCAGGGGGCCTGGTCACGGACGAGGTCGTGAGGGCGTTGACCCCCAAAACCCCCCTCCAGGTATGCTGATTTTAATCATGATTAACATTTTCTGGTCATTTATCCTTGTGTGTGAAGGGCTTGGACATCCAACAGGTGTCTGTGAGTGTATTAGATAGGAGTGAATGGAGGAAAGTGGTTTTTATGACTCGACGTGCTGTTGGAGTGTGAGCACGCTAACATTTATTAAGGGATTCAGAGTAGCTAGTTAGGACTTGAGTCTTGGAAGTGGGAAGTACAGTGCCAGCACTCTGAAGGATGAGTGTGGATATTACAGTTCTGAAGGTAAGAAGTACAGTGCCTGCAATCTGAAGGATGAGTAAGGATGTTAAGGTCCTGGAGGCGGGAAGCACAGTGCCTGCACTCTGATGAGAATGTTACAGTCCTGAAGGTGGGAAGCACTTACCCATAGACTCAAGGTCTATTGACTGCGCCACAGACTTGTTATCATCGTCGACAGCTATCGCCTTCTGGAACAGCAGCATCTTCACCACTTTCTGGCACTCGCTGTACTTTATTTTGGCATCGCGGTCGTTGGGTCGAGTCTTTGTCACCTGTAATGTTTAGTCTCCATTAGTGTTTGTACAGTGCATGTGTTGTGCATCCAACACCTGCAATGAATCCTGGTATAATGAACCTTGGTATAAGGGATTTCGATATAACGGACCTCGATATAATGAACTTATTAAATAACAAAATCCAATGGTTAAATTGTAGTTTGACCTCCTTTATTTTCAATGTTCACTGTAATATAAGTGTAAACTGTGTACACTACAAGTGTACATAAACTGTTACAACAGTGTACATAAACTATGTGTACACTACAACAAGTGTACACCAGAGAACATTAGTAATTGTATGGTATTTTGAACATTATTCTGATTTAACAAAAGTGGACAAACTCCTCCCTAATAGTTTGTTATAACCAGAACTTACTGTAACACAGTTACAGTAAGTTCTGGTTAAGATGGTAGTTACATTCCTGAAAATGACAATTAAAAAGTTGTGTAAATTGAAATAAGGAACATGGGTGAACAAAAAGGTTACGTTCCTGGAACCCCCGTAAGTGCCAAAACAAAATTTGTCCTTGAAATTTTACAAAAATAATAATGTAATTGTCGTTAGATCAAGATAATTAAAATACACGTAGCTTAAACAGTACAGTAAGTCCTCAACTTACATACACATTAAGAATCTACTGTATTGTGTATATCATTACTGTGTATAATTATTATATCATTATCATACACAATACAGAAAGTCCCAATGTATTCGTAAGTTGAAGACTTCTGTATTACGAATATTGTACACAATTCTGGTCTCCAATGTGTACGTAAGTTGAAGACTTACTGTAATTATTTTGTATCTTAAATTTTGGTTGTTGGTGAATATTGTTGATCTTGGAGAGGGATTAGTAAGTTCATTTAGGTACAGGTATACATAAGTACAATTGTCATACATGGTAACATATATTAAAACACCCACTAATAACAATACAAATTCATCGCTAAGTGAGGAGCATACTATAGTGGCGGTGAGTTTGTGTCAACCATCTTTGATATTGTTTTAATGTCACCTTTGCACCATTTATAACATTTCTGGAATGTTTTTAAATGTTTATACAGTAGTGTACTGTATATTGTAATAAACAGAATAGAGGAAATCAGCTCTCATATACACCTACCATCCGACTTACGACCTGCTCGACTTACGACCACTCGACTTACGACAGTGTTTTTTATGCCAAATTTCTGGGAAATAAACAAGTATTTGTGTTGTAGACAGTGTTTATCCTAAACCTTACAGTATAAAATACAGTACTAACAACATAAAAAGTAAAGTAAAACATGAAATACCAAAATAAAACAATAAAATAAAGTCATTACAAAAATGTTTTGTTGATATTCAGTAGTAAAGTTCGACTTGCGCCATTTCGACTTACGACCGGTTTCTCGGAACCGAACTCGGTCGTAAGACGGAATAGGTGTACATTTTTTAGGTATGAATACTGGTCAGAGAGCCCGTCGTAAGTCTGAGGCATTGGTAAACGAGTACGTCGCTAATTGAGGAGGGGCTGTATTATTATCATTATTATTAACATACTAGTTCCTGTGCCAACCCAAGCCTCATCTAAAGTGTATGGAGGTAATAACAGATGAGTTATCAAACTGCTAAATAATGTAGGTGAAACTGAGCATTGGTTCATTAACATGGTGTCCTGTGGCCTGGTAGGCAACACTCTCACTTCACACACTGTGTCCGTGGTTCGATCCCCAACAAGGATGGAAACATTGGGTGTGTTTCCTTATATCTGCTGTCTCCATTCACCTAGCAAGCAAGGAGGCACCTGGGTGTTAGTCAACTGGTGTGGGTCGCATCCTGGTGGACGAGATTTAAGAGCTACAATGGAAATAAGACAGTCCCTCGATGATACACTGACTTTCTTGGGTTATCCTGGCTGACTAACCTTTTCGAGTTAAAAATCGAAACAAAATCTCATCTCATCTTACCTTAACATAAATTCACAATAAACAGGTGATATCACAATATGCAGAAATAACCACAGTGAAAAAAAAAGTGAACAATTTCATGATTTCTCACATTAGCAAGGAATAATATGAGAAACCACCGAAACAATTTGGAATTTCACAACTTTTTTCACGTTGGTTATTTTGCATATACATACAGTGGACCCCCGGTTTACGATCAGCTCCCAATGCGACCAATTATGTAAGTGCGTTTGCATGTGTATGTTTGGGGGTCTGAAATGGACTAATTCACAATATTCCTTATGGGAACAAATTCGGTAATTACTGGCACCTGAACATACTTCTGGAATGAAATAAAGTCATAAACTGGGGGTCCACTGTATTACTATGTATGATAATTGTACTAATGTGTACTTGTACCTAAATAAACCTATAAATTAATAAATTACAGGCACAAAAATTAATATTACTGTAGCTACAGTTAGTGAAGGAAGGTAACTACCTGCACTCTGAAGGAGGGGTGGACATACCTGCACTCTGAAGAAGGGGTGGACATACCTGCACTCTGAAGGAGGGGTGGACATACCTGCACTCTGAAGGAGGGGTGGACATACCTGCACTCTGAAGGAGGGGTGGACATACCTGCACTCTGAAGGAGGGGTGGACATACCTGCACTCTGAAGGAGGGGTGGACATACCTGCACTCTGAAGGAGGGGTGGACATACCTGCACTCTGAAGGAGGGGGTGGACATACCTGCACTCTGAAGGAGGGGGTGGACATACCTGCACTCTGAAGGAGGGGGTGGACATACCTGCACTCTGAAGGAGGGGTGGACATACCTGCACTCTGAAGGAGGGGTGGACATACCTGCACTCTGAAGGAGGGGTGGACATACCTGCACTCTGAAGGAGGGGTGGACATACCTGCACTCTGAAGGAGGGGAGGACATACCTGCACTCTGTAGGAGGGGTGGACATACCTGCACTCTGAAGGAGGGGGTGGACATACATTACAGTTTTTGAACTGTGATACTGGCATGATTCTGGCAAGACAGCAATGGCGTGACTGATGATGGAAGTGTTTCTTCTTTTTCAGATCACCCCGCCTCAGTGAGCAACAGCTGATGTGTTAAAAAAAAGGGGGGTAACTATAGACCTGGGCATTCTGAGGCACAGACAAAATACTTACCGTTTCATAGTCCTTTAGTGCTAGTTTAAATTTCCCTAGAGACATATAGGCTGAGGCTCTTCTGTAGTAACCCTTAACATAACTCTTGTCTAATTCCAAGGCCTTGGACGCGTCTTGAAGAGCATAGCCGAAACATTCCGTCCGCAGATAGGCGAAACTTCGATTACCGTAATATATGGCGACGGTGTCGTTTAATTCTATTGCAGAGGTGTATAGCTCAATGGCTTTGTCATACTGCTGTTCTGGAGAGACGGGAATAAACATTATGTTAATGCATGAAAAATATAGACTTGTGGTACAAATACATGACTTGTGGTACAAATACATGCACTTGTGGTACAAATACATGGACTTGTGGTACAAATACATGCACTTGTGGTACAAATACATGGACTTGTGGTACAAATACATGCACTTGTGGTACAAATACATGGACTTGTGGTACAAATACATGGACTTGTGGTACAAATACATGCACTTGTGGTACAAATACATGGACTTGTGGTACAAATACATGGACTTGTGGCACAAATACATGGACTTGTGGTACAAATACATGGACTTGTGGTACAAATACATGGACTTGTGGTACAAATACATGGACTTGTGGTACAAATACATGGACTTGTGGTACAAATACATGGACTTGTACAAATACATGGACTTGTGGTACAAATACATGGACTTGTGGTACAAATACATGGACTTGTGGAACAAATACATGGACTTGTGGTACAAATACATGCACTTGTAGTACAAATACATGGACTTGTGGTACAAATACATGCACTTGTAGTACAAATACATGGACTTGTGGTACAAATACATACACTTGTGGTACAAATACATGCACTTGTGGTACAAATACATGGACTTGTGGTACAAATACATGGACTTGTGGTACAAATACATAGACTTGTGGTACAAATACATGGACTTGTGGTACAAATACATAGACTTGTGGTACAAATACATGGACTTGTGGTACAAATACATGGACTTGTGGTACAAATACATGGACTTGTGGTACAAATACATGGACTTGTGGTACAAATACATGGACTTGTAGTACAAATACATGGACTTGTGGTACAAATACATGGACTTGTGGTACAAATACATGGACTTGTGGTACAAATACATGCACTTGTGGTACAAATACATGGACTTGTGGTACAAATACATGCACTTGTAGTACAAATACATGGACTTGTGGTACAAATACATGCACTTGTAGTACAAATACATGGACTTGTGGTACAAATACATACACTTGTGGTACAAATACATGGACTTGTGGTACAAATACATGGACTTGTGGTACAAATACATGGACTTGTGGTACAAATACATACACTTGTGGTACAAATACATGGACTTGTGGTACAAATACATGGACTTGTGGTAGAAATACATGGACTTGTGGTACAAATACATGCACTTGTAGTACAAATACATGGACTTGTGGTACAAATACATGCACTTGTAGTACAAATACATGGACTTGTGGTACAAATACATGCACTTGTGGTACAAATACATGCACTTGTGGTACAAATACATGCACTTGTGGTACAAATACATGCACTTGTAGTACAAATACATGGACTTGTGGTACAAATACATGGACTTGTGGTACAAATACATGGACTTGTGGTACAAATACATGCACTTGTAGTACAAATACATGCACTTGTGGTACAAATACATGGACTTGTGGTACAAATACATGGACTTGTGGTACAAATACATGGACTTGTGGTACAAATACATGCACTTGTGGTACAAATACATGCACTTGTGGTACAAATACATGGACTTGTGGTACAAATACATGGACTTGTGGTACAAATACATGCACTTGTGGTACAAATACATGGACTTGTGGTACAAATACATGGACTTGTGGTACAAATACATGCACTTGTGGTACAAATACATGGACTTGTGGTACAAATACATGGACTTGTGGTACAAATACATGCACTTGTGGTACAAATACATGCACTTGTGGTACAAATACATGGACTTGTGGTACAAATACATGCACTTGTAGTACAAATACATGGACTTGTGGTACAAATACATGGACTTGTGGTACAAATACATGCACTTGTAGTACAAATACATGCACTTGTAGTACAAATACATGGACTTGTGGTACAAATACATGGACTTGTGGTACAAATACATGGACTTGTGGTACAAATACATGGACTTGTGGTACAAATACATGGACTTGTGGTACAAATACATGGACTTGTGGTACAAATACATGGACTTGTGGTACAAATACATGGACTTGTGGTACAAATACATGGACTTGTGGTACAAATACATGCACTTGTGGTACAAATACATGCACTTGTGGTACAAATACATGGACTTGTGTACAAATACATGCACTTGTAGTACAAATACATGGACTTGTGGTACAAATACATGCACTTGTAGTACAAATACATGGACTTGTGGTACAAATACATGGACTTGTAGTACAAATACATGGACTTGTGGTACAAATACATGCACTTGTAGTACAAATACATGCACTTGTGGTACAAATACATGGACTTGTGGTACAAATACATGCACTTGTGGTACAAATACATGGACTTGTGGTACAAATACATGCACTTGTAGTACAAATACATGGACTTGTGGTACAAATACATAGACTTGTGGAACAAATACATGGACTTGTGGTACAAATACAAAGACTTGTGGTACAAATACATGGGCTTGTGGTACAAATACATAGACTTGTGGAACAAATACATGGACTTGTGGTACAAATACATGGACTTGTGGTACAAATACATGGGCTTGTGGTACAAATACATAGACTTGTGGTACAAATACATGGACTTGTGGTACAAATACATGGACTTGTGGTACAAATACATGCACTTGTGGTACAAATACATGGACTTGTGGTACAAATACATGGACTTGTGGTACAAATACATGGACTTGTGGTACAAATACATGGACTTGTGGTACAAATACATGCACTTGTGGTACAAATACATGGACTTGTGGTACAAATACATGGACTTGTGGCACAAATACATGGACTTGTGGTACAAAAGACCCCACACATAAGATAACACAATAACACTGCAGAGTCAGATCACTTACAAAGCTCATCCATTTGATGTAATTTTTCATAAATATGACCGAAAAAAGTGCATCCAAAATTAAATAGCAACACTATGAAGGCCCTTCCAAGAACTATTCAATTATGGATGTACTTTTTGCATCACATTTATAAAAAAAAATCCCACTAGTGGACCCCCGGTTAACGAACTTTTTTCACTCCAGAAGTATGTTCAGGTGCCAGTACTGACCGAATTTGTTCCCATAAGGAATATTGTGAAGTAGATTAGTCCATTTCAGACCCCCAAACATACACGTACAAACGCACTTACATAAATACACTTACATAATTGGTCGCATTTGGAGGTGATCGTTATGCGGGGGTCCACTGTATACTACACAGGTTTAGAAGAGCTTACTAATGGATATTTCAACTTACAACTGAGACCCTCATCATATTATAATGTATAAATGCTTACTATCATCTCTCTTAAAGAATAAAAACTCACAATACCATGACTGTAACAATGCAATAACAACAGCAAGTAGGAGAATGATATTTATGATGATATGTCAATACAGTGGACCCCCGCTTAACGATCCCCTCCAAATGCGACTAATTATGTAAGTGTATTTATGTAAGTGCTTTTGTACATGTATGTTTGGGGGTCTGAAATGGACTAATCTACTTCACAATATTCCTTATGGGAAAAAATTCGGTCAGTACTGGCACCTGAACATACTACTGGAATGAAAAAAGTTCGTTAACCGGGGGTCCACTGTACAGTATAATGATATTTCAGTCTGACTTGACTATTAACTAGTTAGAGAGAAGCGTGAAGGTAAGGGAGCCAGAATACAGCCTCTCCTCACTTAGTGACGTACTCGTTTACTGATGTGGTCCTAGGAATGGAACTCCGTTGTTAAGTGAGGAGAAGCTGTGTTATGTTCCAAGTCGGACCAAAACAACGTCACAAGCTTCAGTCTCCTATGAACGGGTTACAGTGGACCCCCGCATAGCGAACTTAATCCGTGCAAGAGGGCTGGTCGTTATGCGAAATGTTCGCTATGCGAATTAATTTTCCCCATAAGAAATAATGGAAATAAAATTAATCCGTGCAAGACACCCAAAAGTATGAAAAAAAATTTTTTTTTACCACAAAAAAATGTTAATTTTAGTACACACAAACTGAAAAAGGCATGCACAATTACATGACACTTACTTTTATTGAAGATCTGGTGATGATTGATGGGATGGGAGGAGGGGAGAGAGAGTGTTAGTGTTTAGAAGGGGAATCCCCTTCCATTAGGACTTGAGGTAGCAAGTCCTTTTCCGGGGTTACTTCCCTTCTTCTTTTAATGCCACTAGGACCAGCTTCAGAGTCACTGGACCTCTGTCGCACAACAAATCTGTCCATAGAGCTCTGTACCTCCCGTTCCTTTACGATTTGTCTAAAATGGGCCATAACATTGTCATTGAAATAGTCACCAGCACGGCTTGCAACAGCTGTGTCAGGGTGATTTTCATCCATAAAGGTTTGCAGTTCAACCCACTGTGCACACATTTCCTTAATTTTTGAAGTAGGCACAATGGATTCCACAACTGGCATAGGCTTCTCAGGGTTAGCCCCAAACCCTTCAAAATCTTTCTTAATTTCCATACTAATTCTCACCCTTTTTACCACAGGGTTGGCACTAGAAGCTTTCTTGGGGCCCATGGTCACTTATTTTCCAGAAACAGCACCGAAAACACTGTAATAATACGAAATATTCCGAGTGTATGCTTGAATGTTACCGCGGAGGCTGGCTGGTAAACAATGGACGCGTCTCGGACGAAGGTCGCTGAGCGGGTTTTTGTCCACTATGCGGGGCAAAATTTTGGCGAACAAAGCGTTCGCTATGCGGATTGTTCGCTATGCAAGGCGTTCGCTATGCGGGGGTCCACTGTATTTGTGTATTTTTTCTTATTATTATCCGTCTTCTGGTAGTGGTCCATATAACCTGTGACTTGGTAGGCAACACTCTCACATCTCTCACTGAGTATCCTTGGTTCAATCCCGGCAGGGTAGAAACACTGGGCATGTTTCCTTAAGCTTTCTGTCACCTAGCAATAACTAGGTACCTGGGTGTTAGTTGACTGGTG